GTGACCCTGGGCAAGTCACTTAACCCTATTGGCCTCAGTTTCCTCATCTGTAAAATAGGGATCATAATAGCACCTCTGTCCCAGAGTTGTTGTGAGGATCAAACGAGATTATTACTGTAAAGCATTTATCACATAGTAAGCACTATAGAAATGTTAGCTATTACTTTCCTTTTCTAAATCTTAAGATCCTTTGAAACCAGGGGTCAGAAAGCAAGGTGACAGTAGTAGGAGAGGCTCATACTTTGTCTCCCAAACCCTCACTACCTGGATTGAGTCTGAGTCTTCCAAGGAAGTTCTGAAGGAAGTCTAGTCTTGTAAGCAAAGAATATGTGGGGTGGGGCCTCTCTCAGAGGCATCCGCCTTATGGGCTAGAGAGTTGCCTGATCTTTTGAGGTAGTGATCATAATCATAATCATAACAACAGCAACAACAACTAGCATTTATCTAGCACCTGTTTACAAAGCATTTTATAAAATATGTTAGCTAATTCGGTGAGGAACAGCTGATGCCCAGCCCCTAGAAACTCTGCCAAGCTGCCTGGAATTGTGATTTAGCTCGCAGAACACAGGATTTGGAGGCAAGAAGGCCTGGATCCAAATTCTGCCTCAGACACTTACTAACTATGCGACCCTGGACAAGTCACTTAAGCTCTTGGTGTCTCTGTTTCTTTATCTGTAAAGTGAGGGAATTGAACTCAATGACCTCTTAAGGTCCATCCCTGCTCTAAATCTATGATCCTAGGAAATGCCCCGGGGAGGATGTCACAGCCTGTGGGAGGCCAGGAGCAGGGAGTTGACAAGGAAGAAGAAGTCTGGGGCCCTTGAAAACCCTTCAGCTTCCTAGAGTGGCGGCCAAAGGCCCAGCTCCCAGGGTACATATCAAAGACCTGGTGCTTCTCATTCACACACTTTGAGGAAGGAAACGTCTCACAGATAAACGTGTGGGAATCTCCAAATGGTGCCCTTCCCTTTGGGGTGTGGGCTGTTCTGGTTTTGTTTTATTTTCATTTTCTCACCAGAATGATTGTAGCTCTGCCAGGGTCAATGAATGGGATGCATGCAGCATTGGCACGAACACTGAGGGTGATTTATGTCTAGTTTGTGCAGACACTTAAGGTGATTCTGGTGTAACGGAAAGAGTCTTGGATTTGGAGTTGGAATCAATCAATTCAACAAGCATTTATGAAGTACCTCCTATGTGCCAGGCTCTGAGGACAAAGATCAGATAGTCCCTGCCCTCAAGCAGCTTACATTCTACTGTGGGAATATAAAATATTCAGAATGTAGATCAAATAAGTACAAAGCAATAGGGGAGGAGGGTAGTAACAGCAGAGGAAATAAGGAAAGGTCCCTTGAAGACAGTGGCACTTGAGCTGTACCTTGAAGGGGACTAAAAGCCCCAAGAGGTTGAGGAGAGGTGGGAGGTCATTCTGGGTGTGAGACATGGAGTGGGGAGTGCAATACACACTAGTGAAGCAGTAGGCAGCTACTGAAGTTTCTTGAGCTGAATAGTGATGTGGTCAGAACTATACCTCTAAATATCAATTTGGCAGGTATATGGAGGATTGTTTAGAGAGGGATGAGTCTGGATACAGAGAAACTAATTAGGAGCCTATTATAATAGTCCAGAAGAGAGGTTAGGAGGGCTTGACCGTTGGGGGCAGTGGTAGGAGTTTAGAGAAGGGGACAAGTACAAATGTATTGAGGAGATAGAATGAACCATCCTGGACTGGACTTTTCTTTTTATAAATAATTTTTTCCAGTTCAAAACGCAACAGCTGCTGCCTGGAGAGTGACTATGTCTTGATTTTTTCCCCTTCTCTTCTGCCTAAATTCATCTTACCTTTTGACTGTCCTTGGCCCACTTCTCATAAATCACAGAATTTCAGCATTGGAAGGGATATTGGAGACCATCTAATCCAATCCATAGCCGACCAAAACTCCTTCCCACAACGTGCGCCCATGGTGTTCATTTAGCCTTCGACCTCTAGTACCAAGGCATCCACTGTCCCCCAGGGCTGCCCATTCCACTTTGAGATGGACTTAATGGTTAGAAAATTTTTCATATCTCAAGATTAAATCTGTTTCTCTGCAGCTTCCCCATTGCTCCTTATTCTTCCCTTTGGAGCCAAATGGCTCCAAGTCTAATCCTTCCTCCAGGTGAGAACTCTGAAAATTCTTGAAGACATCTGTTATGTAAACCTGCTCTCCTTCAGGCTAAACCCCTACTTCCTTTAAGAGACCCCCCTTGTGGCATGACCCCTTTGTCCCAGTCACCTGCTTTAGTTTGTCAATGCCCCTTAAATGTGGTACCTAGAACTGAACGTTATCCCTGGATGGGGTCTGACCAGAACAGAGTACTCCACATCCAGTCAGTCAATAAGCATTTATTAGTGCTTACTATGTGTCAGGCACCGTGCTAAGCATTGGGGATACAAAGGAAGGCAAAAGGCAACAGGCCCTCCTCTCAAGGAACTCACAGTCTAATGATGGAGATAAAGTGAAAGCAACTGTACAAAAAGGTTGTACAGGATATTACACAGTGCAATTAACAAAGGGAAGGTGCTAGCTTAAGCAGGGTTGGGAGCTTCTTGTAGAAGGTGGGATTTTAGCTAGCACCTACTTGAAGGAAACAGGAGGTGAAGGTGAGGAGCCAGAGTAGTTGCTTCCCAGTCTAATGAACCGTCCAAAGCCTGAGAGTTAAGATGGGCAATTCCTCTGATAAAAACATATGCAGTAGCCAGCAGGTAAAAGTGGTTAACGAGGTCTCAAAAGTTACTCCACCAGGATCCAAGAGCTGCCTTTATATATCTGTTTCCCAAAGGGCCCATAGCTGAGCCCCAATCAGTCTACCTGGCAGCAAAGTTAGCTCAAGCTGGCCAAGGTCTACTCCCAAGTATCTTCATACACAATAGCCTCAGTTAGGGAGTGGGGGGAGGGAGTTGAAAAGATTAACTCAAGCTACCCCAGCTCCAGCTCCCTTAGTGTCTTGGCATACAACAGCAAGACTATCACCTCTCCTTCTGAACATTTTGCCTGACAATTCAGACAAATATTGAAACAGCATTTTTTTTTCCTCTCATATCCCAGAGTTGCCTGATATTAAGCTTGTAGTCCATTTATACTTTTATCCAAGTCACCAATAAAAATGTTTATAGCCTAAAGGCCAGGCACAGATTTTAGGGAGACTCCAATAGAGACCTCCTTCCAAGTTGATACTAAACTGTTAATGGGTATACTTTGTCTGACCTTTCAAACAGTTCTAAATCTACCTAATTGTACCATAAACTAGCTGGCATCTTAGCATCATTTCCACAAGCATAGGGTGAGATAATTTGAGAAATGCCTTGCTAAGATCTAGCTAATCTATATTTACAGTGTTTCCCTGGTAAATGAATGTATAAATGAATGAATAAATGAAAAAGCATTTATGAAGCTTGCTATATATACCAGGCACTGTTCTGAGTACTGGGGCTACAAACAGAAAAAACAAGATGATTCTTGCTGCCAAGGACTTTATAGTGTAAGAAGACAACTTATATGGAGAAATTGTAGCTAAGAAATGTTGTTTTGGGAAGGGAAATCACAGGGTTGGTGAATGGAGTCACAGAGCAACTGATTTACACTTTCCTTCCAGGCATGATAATCTTGGTATGTTTCCAGAGATAGAGATGGAAAAGGAGGGTGTGGCAGCAGGACATGAAGTTGTCCAGGGAGAAGCAATATGGTGGGTCTGAGTTGGGCTAGTTATGGTGAATGTTCACCAATCAGAAGCCCAAGACCCAGAGCAGAGCTAGAGTGCAAGATGGAAGCTAGAGCATAGAAACATGACATAGTCTAGTAACTAATATCAAAAAAAAAAAAGAGGAAATGAGTTTAATCTAGTATTCTTAGAAGCCATGTTGGCTCTTGATGAGAACCATTTCCTTTTTGACAGGTTCAATTGCCATCCCTATAACAATGTGCTCTTAAAGTTTGCCAAGAACAAATATATTAGGCAATCAACAAGTATTTATTGAGTGCCAATATTTGCTTTGCCCTGTTCTAGGCTCTGGGAATACAAAGATACAGGACATAGAACTTCCTCTCAAAGCATTTATGGTCTAATTGGGTAGGCAGGATGTATACCCACAATGAGGTCCATATCAGTTTAAGGCAGTATATGGTAAATGTCTGGTGGGTGCAGATAGTAAGCCCCAGCAGAGTTCAAAAGATGGAAAAATCACTGCTCTGAGATGGGCTAGCAAGACATCATGGAGAAGGTGGGATGGGATATGTCCTGAGGGGTGACTGTGATTTGAATAAACTAATAGCTGAATAGAGAGTGTTTACATTACATGAAGGCTTCTGGCTACACTCTCTCAGGAATGGCATTCTGCCTCAAACCTCATATAATATTTATTTTGTAACTCTGGCACACTTGTCATAGAATTTTGGGTATTCTGGGTACAGTATTGATGTCTTATGTGAATACTAGCCTGCAATCTCCTTGAAGGCAGGGATATGTCTTTTCTAAGTGTTTTTTTCTCACTCAGTATTTGTTGAATTGTATTAAATGAAACCTAGCTGAATTGAATTGATGAGAAAGAAGAATGTGAATAAAATCAGAGAAGCAAAAATGAGCTTACCATCATGACTCATCTAGAATTCAGTGGTATCAAACTCAAATAGAAACAGAGCCTCTAAACCATACGTAAGGATCTTTGTGGGCTACATATCGACTTGGAAAACCACATAGTAACATCATTTATGTCCTGTTGTATTTATTTTGTTAAGTATTTATTTGTTAAATAATTTTGTTAAATATTTCCCAATTAAATTTTAATCTGGTACACTTGGGAATTTTGCATTATGGGTAACATATCTGATACCTCCGGTCTAGGTGACAATGAGTGGGTCAGGCTAACCAGAGTGCCCTTAATCCCAGATCTTGTGGGTTTTTTTTTTTCCATTATGGACACTTGTTTCCTAATGCCTGACTTCTGCCTTGTGTCCCTGCAGGGCTCTGGATGAGAACATGGCCAATGGTATTGATGAACTGATTGGTATTCCCTTCCCCAACCACAGCAGTGAAGTCCTGTGTAGTCTGAATGAACAGCGGCATGATGGCTTGCTCTGTGATGTCCTGCTGGTGGTCCAGGAGCAGGAGTACCGGACCCACCGGTCAGTCCTAGCTGCCTGTAGCAAGTACTTCAAGAAGCTCTTCACAGCAGGTACTTTAGCTGACCAGCCTTATGTCTATGAGATTGACTTTGTCCAGCCAGAGGCACTGGCTGCCATCCTGGAGTTTGCCTACACATCCACCCTCACAATCACAGCCTCCAACGTAAAACACATCCTGAATGCTGCCAAAATGCTAGAGATTCAGTGCATTGTTAACGTGTGCCTGGAGATCATGGAGCCTGGGGGGGATGGGGAAGAGGAGGATGACAAAGAAGATGATGACGATGAGGATGAGGAGGATGAGGAGGAGGAGGAGGAGGAAGAAGATGAAGATGATGAGGATGAGGATGATGAGGCAGAGGACTTTGCCGACCAGGAAAACCTGCCTGATGCCCAGGATATCAGCTGCCACCAAAGCCCTTCTAGGACAGACCACCTCACAGAGAAGGCCTATGCAGACACCCCAAGGGACTTTTCCAACCCTTTCCAGGCTAATGGCAGCCCTGGTCATCTAGGGGTCATTCGTGACTTTTCCATTGAGTCTTTACTGAGAGAAAACCTCTACCCCAAAGCTAACATCCCTGACAGAAGGCCTGCCTTATCACCCTTTTCCCCGGGCTTCTTTCCACACCTCTGGCCTGGAGATTTTGGTGCCTTTGCCCAGCTGCCTGAACAGCCCATGGACAATGGACCCCTAGACCTGGTCATCAAAAAACGAAAGATCAAGGAAGAGGAGAAGGAGGAGCTCCCGCCGCCACCACCACCACCACCCTTCCCTGGTGACTTCTTTAAGGATGTGTTTGCTGACCTCCCTGGGGGACCCCTGGGACCCATAAAGGCCGAGACCGACTATGGCACCTATCTCAACTTCCTGAGTGCCACCCACCTAGGTAGCATCTTTCCCCCATGGCCGCTGGCAGAGGAACGGAAGCTAAAGCCCAAGGCATCTCAGCAGTGCCCCATCTGCCATAAGATCATCATGGGGGCAGGGAAACTGCCACGGCACATGAGGACGCACACAGGGGAGAAGCCGTATATGTGTAACATCTGTGAGGTTCGATTCACCAGGTGTGCTCCCAGAGGCCAGGGAAGGTTGGGGTGGTGGAGGAGGAGAGAAAGGCAGGGGAATGGTGAGGACTTAGTGGGTGGAGAGAGAAGGATGGGCCTAGGGAGTTTGGACTGAGCCCAATCTGGAATCTGGAAGGGTCTGTCTGTCAACCAGAATTTTTTAAGCACCCAAGTGCCAGACACTGTGTTAAGCCTTCAGGATTAAAGAAAGGCAAAAATAAGTCTCTCCTGTTAAGGAGCTCAAGGTCTAGTGGATCAGAATGTTAGTATTTACAGGGACTTCAGATATTATCTTATTCAGAAGAAGAAACTGAGGCTCAGAGAGAGGAAGAGATTTGCCCAAGGTTGTACTGCTTATCACTGAAGGAGTCTCAGGAGAGATTCAGTCTCCCACTAGGGTCCTAAGAAGATAACCTAATCTTGTGAACCAGCTACTGAGAAGATAGGAGTAGCCACTGAGAAGGTTGCTTTAACCACTTCCAAGGCAAACTTTGGGGACTGGACCCCCATTTATTCTTTTCTATGTTTGTCTTTTATCAGACCTATGATTTCACCTAGGGAGGAACACCCACTCCCAATGCAGATCTGTGTCTTTTCTTTGATTTATAATCTTAGAGAGTTACCTGGGGCAATAAGAGATTAGGTGACTTGACCAGAGCTTCACACAACCAGTATATGTCAGAAGGTGGACTTGAACCCAGGTCTTTGGGATTTCAAGGCCCAATTTCTATCTCACACACCACGATGCCTCTCCTCTTGTCTGTTCTCATTTTCATGAGAGATCAGAAAAAAATATAAACCATCATAAAAAAATTAAAACTACAACAGGAGGGACAGCTCGATGACACAGTGGATAGAGCACTGGCTCTGGAGACAGGAGGACCTGAGTTCAAATCCAACTTCAGACGCTTACTGGCTGTGTGATCCTGGACAAGTCACTTAACCCAGATTGCCTCCAAACAAAAGACAACAGGAGGTTTTTGTCTTGCAAAAAATTTCAATGATGTTTGTGGCAACCAGACAATGAAGCATATTGGTTTTATTAAGATCTGTAAGACAATTTCAGGTCAGATTTGCCCATCACGTATTTTGAATCAGCTTCATTTCTGAGACTGTCATTCACCAGAATGGTCGGCAAACATGAGTGTGCTACCAATTTCCAAAACAGTTTTTATGTTAGGAAAAGTTATGTGGATATTAATGCCAAAGCAGCCAGCTGACTGATCGTCTGAATGCACCATTAATTAGAGAGGCAGCAGGGTATAATGGAAAGAGCATAATGGAAAGGACATCACAAAGCAAATTAGAGGGCTTGGGTTCAAAATCTGCCATTGATACTTACTATCTGTGTAATCTTGGGCAAGTCCCTTAATTACCGGGCTCCTCATTTTTCTCCCCTGTAAAGTGGGAGGTCAGCTATGTAGCACAGTGGATAGAGCACTGGGCCTGGAGTCAGGAAGACCCGAGTTCAAATTCAACCTCAGACACGTAGTAGCTGCGAGACCCTGGGCTAGTCACTGTTTGCCTCAGTTTCTCCATCTGTAAAATGAGCTGGAGAAGGAAATGGCAAACCACTCTGGTATCTCTGCCAAGAAAACCCCAAATGGGGCCGTGAAAAGTCAGACATGACTGAAATGACTGAACAACATAACAAAGTGAGAAGGTTAGATTAAAAGGCCTCCAAGGTCCCTTCCAACTCTGAAACTATTATCCTAGGAATCTGGATTAGTGAGAAATTGTGTCTCCACATATTAAGTGTGCTGCCATGTCAAGTATCAGGGTTTGGGTTTTGTTTTTGTTTTTGTTTTTTTGAAACAGACCAGAACTCATATATGAAACTGTTTTGTTTCCCTCAAGTAGAGAATCACAGAATCACGAAGTTTCAGAACTAGAAGGAATAGTGTAGAGGCATCTAGGCCAAATCTCTCTGAAGCAAGAACGAATCCCTGCTACATTAAAATAAAGCACTTAACAAACCTTGAAGCACTACAGGAGAGCAGTAATTATTATTATCCCTGACAAGTCTGCTTAACCATCTCCAGTGACGGGAAGCTTAAACCCCTCCAAAGTGGCCCGTTCCATTGCTGCACAGTCCTGGTTGGTAAGAGTTTCTTCCTTGAGTGAAGCTAAAATCTGGCCCCTCAAGGTCCCATACACTGACCCTGAGCCTCCGGACCAAATAAAATGTCTAATCTTAGTTCCACATGACAGCCCTTCAGATGTATGAACACAACTCTAATATTCCCTCCAAGGCCTCTTTTCATCACACTAAGAAGAAAAAACCAACGTAATTCCTTTACTTTGCTTAGCTACAATGACCAAATTCCAACTCAATGGTCTTTTCTGGAAACAACCTGGGGATATAATTGTCGGCAGCACAGCCATCTACGGTAGCACGTTTTCCTTTGTGGATGGATTTGATTTGGGGAAATGGCCAAATGAAATCCAGAGTGAAGGCTGGTGAATGAGGTCAAATGGGGGTTCCTGTTTTGGGTTTTTTCCGAAAATAAGACGGACCTTGGTGGGGGAAAGGCAGTGGAGAGGCAGTGTCCTGTTGGGTAGAGAGATGGCCTTGGAATGAAAAGACCTGAGTTCAAATCACGTATGACCGTGGGAAGGAGGTTAACCTCTCTGTGCTTCAAGGCAACTAGCTCTCTAAGAATATAAGTTAGAGATAAATTGCCAGTCTACATCAGTGGATGGGATTTCCACACTGGGTATTCCTTCTAGTGATAAAACCACAAGTCTATAGCAAAAATAAAACAAACGAAAAAAACAAAAACAAAAAAACCTGATGAAACTGATTTTCTTCTCTGGCTTGTAGTCTGGCTCTGAAGGCAGTTCCCAAAGGAAAGCTCTAAACATGTGATGAGTAATGGTAATATCTCTGAAATAAGTCTATAACCTCCCAAGGGGACTACTTTGAAGGATGCAGCGCTCGCTCAGAGGTGTGAGTTCTGGTTTGTGATTAAGTAGCTGGTTTTTTCACCCCACATTCATCCCTCATAGAGATTGAGGTAAAGGCCTTTCTTTATGTACAAAGTTTTACAGCTAATCCTTTTCCTGTAATGCTCTGCCTGATGCTTTCATCCTATGGTTGGTAACTGGACCCAGCAGCTTTATGGCAGGCAACAGGGGATGTGTCCCTTTTAGAAGTGATGCATTGGCATCCTTGCTTTGCTGATGAATCTGCTCTGTGTTTCAGGTAAATCCTTGAGCTGATCTTATCAAATCCCTACCCTGTCATCCTCCCATTGACCTAATCCAGGTCCTGAATTATCCCCAAGACTTACATCAAGGCTGAGCTTTGCTATTCTTGGCCCGGACTATATTTCTCAGTGTCCTCAGGCCCCCTCAACCCCTGCCAGTCCACAGCAGGCACGCAAGCCAGTAATGCTTGGCACTACCTGGGAGCCTTGTCCGTATTGCTAGCCAGGCGTACCATGCCCTCCGGCTCCTAGTTTCCTTGGGTAAGTGTGGATCAAAAGGAAAAAAAAAATTAGAAAATGTTTCCAAGGTGAAAATGCCCTATCAGTTTTGGCATGAGAGAAAGCCAAGTGAATATGGTAGCAAAGGAAAATGATGCTATGTTTGAGGCACTGTGCTAAGCACTTTACCAATATTATCTCATTTGCTCCTCACAACAACCCTGGGAGGTAGGTGCTATTATTATCCCCATTTTATAATTGAGGGAACTGAGGTAAACAAAGGTTAGATGACTTAATCAGAGTTATAAAGCTGATTAAGTATATGAGGCTAAATTTGAATTTAGGTCTTGACTGTATACATAGAGCCACCTACCTGCCTAGAACATTGGATTTAAAGTCAAAAGACCTGGGTTTGAATTCTGGTTCTTCTGCTTTCTACCTGTGTGACCTTGGCCAAGTCACCAGTCCCACTCCACCAGTTCCATTTCAGTTTCCAATCTATGATCCTGTGACTCCCTTTCCTCCAGCATCCCTTACAACTTAAGAGCTTTCAGTTCAACGAAACAGTATGAGAAATATTTGTTAGGCACATCCTGTGAGTGCTAGGCACTTGGAATACAAATGTAAACAATGAGATGCCACCACCCTCAAGATGTTTACAGTCATTTGGGAGGATATAATGAATGGATGAGTAAGCATAATGCAAGAAAGAATGTAATAGGACAAAGGAAAAAAACAAAGTACACCAGAAAAATCTGAGAAGAAAATACTTTCATTTAGGGGAGAGTCAGGGAAGGCACCTGATTTAAGCTGTGAAGGAAAAAAAAGGATTTTAATAGGCAGAGATGGAGAATCAGTGCATTCCAGGTATATGGTATGGCAGATGGGATGACCTTTACAAATGGTCGGAGGTTGAGGGTGATAGAAGAAGATCAAGGAATGGTTAATAGTCCAGTTTAGTTCAAATATGGAGTTCATGAAAGGTAACATCATAAAATAAGACCAGAAAGACAGGTTGAAGCTAGGTTGTTACAGCCCTTAAATGTCATACAGTGTTTGTATTGTATCCTAGGTGGCACAGTAGATTGAGCACTGGGCCTGCAGTCAGGAAGACCTGAGTTCAAATATGGCCTCAGACACTTACTAGCTGTGTGACTCTGGGCAAGTCACTTAACCTCTGTTTGCCTCAGGTTCTTTAACTGCAAAATGGGGATAATAATAGTACCTACTTCCAGGGTTGTTGAGGGGATCAAATGAAATAACATTCATAAAGAACTTAGCGTAGTTCCTGGCACATAGTAGGTACTATATAAATATTATTTATTTATTTTTTTATTATGGCAACAGGGAGCCATTTACTAAAGGTTTAGGGACAGGAGAGTGACATGATCAGACCTAGGCCTTAGCAAGGTTATTTTAGCAGCTATGTGGAGAGGGGAGAGATTGGAATCAGGGAGAACAATTGGCCCATTCCACTAATCCAGGCCAGAGATAATAGCCATTTCATAACAGTTTTTTTGCTAAAAGACCTAGAAATGCTCATGGCAGATAGGCAGAGGGGAAGAGAAGGAA